CATGGGAGGCAAAAAGTCACAAGCGAAAGATAGGTGATGAGCGAGAACCCATTAATAAAGAGAAGCCGAGGAATGAGCGCATAAACAGGAGGTACACTAAGGATCGGTCGGTTAGGCAGAGGCAGAGAAGGTCAAAGCCTTTACCCATTTAAATACTCAACGGGCTAAGATATTGATGAAAATTTGGGACATGAAAGAGCTCGATTGACCGAGACCTTGATTTGTGATTGATTGAAGCGAAGACTACAAATTTACCATACTGCCCCGAAGATCGCTCAACATAGCGGTGAGCAACAAAGCTAAGAAATTGGTTAGCTCAAAATCGCTCTAAGGGGTGGTGATTATCACCAGACCCTATACTTTACTACTTCAAAGATTGCTCAACGCATAACGGTAAGCAACAAAGCCAAGAAATTGGTTAGCTCAAAATCCTTCTAAGGGCTGGTGATTATCAACAGACCCTATACCCCTACTGCCTTAAAGATCGCTCAACACATACAGTGAGCACAAAGTCAAGAAATTGGTTAGCTCAAAATCGCTCTAAGGGCCGGTGATTATCACCCGACCCTATTGAAGATCGCTCAACACATAGCGTGAGCAACAAAGTCAAGAAATTGATTAGCTCAAAATCACTCCAATGGCTAGTGGTGAGTTTTCAAAACCAAAAATGGTTAAAACTCAAAATCACCGGACCCTGCATTCAACAATCCAAGATCGTTTGACATACAATGATGAACAATAAAGACAAAAAATGATTAGTTAGCTAGAAATCACTCAAAAGTTTGAGAAAGAACCTCAAAAACTAAAACTTGGTTAAAACCTGAAATCATGCTCTGCATTTGACATAGCCTAAGGGGTTAGGCGGAAAGCAATGAAATCGATAGATTTGTAACAACCGCGACAGAGTTCTACGATCGAGGTAGGGGGCCTCAAATCTATGAATTAGTTGAGGCCCCAAACCATTAGACCTGGCATCCTACTATTCAACAAAGGATAGCAATACCAATAAAACCAATCAAAGATCGGCAAATGAAATGCGAAAGGTAAAATTACAATCAGGTATAGCGCCAATGCACACGGGTCAACCGCATGGCATTCGACTTACGCCTATGTAACCAGGCGCCCACTCGCTGGCTGTTATGCCTGCTAGCTATTACGATCAAATAGGAAGATTTGTGCAAGGATGGGTAAATAAACTCTCACACATTAGCAAACGACACCAATGATATAAGATAGATATAAAGGAAAAAAGAATCTTTGGGCCTAGGGGCTCTACAAACATAGTGGTCCACACGCTCATATTTTCTAAGTAACTTTTTCAATTTAGATGAGGAATTATAAAGACTATAGCACTTTGGAATCTCAAGAACTACTAACTCACCCGTTGGATCCCATTCAATTTCAAGATTTTGGTTCCAAAATTTGGTTGAGCCAATATGATTTTTTTGGGAGACTCATTTGAAAAGTGTGAGATTCGGCTAAATGTGTCGAATTATTGGGCTCATGGAGGAGTCTACCGATGCGAAGAGGAGACCCGACGGGGTTGGTAGAAGGACGGCCAGCCTCGCGACCAGCCATGAAGTTTGTCGATCGCCTACCAGCCTCATGGCTGGTCAACGTCGACCAGTCAAGGGGCGTCGATCATCGATCAGCCCCATGCTGGTTGAAGATCTACCACCAATGGTCGACCAGCGTTGGTTGACGAACGACCAACAGCCATTGTCGATTGTCGACCAACTTGCTGGTCGGTTGGGAAACTTCGACCGACCCATCTAAGGATGGGTTTGTCAATTGACTTGCCCCCCCACTCGCGCTTTCGTCGAATGAAGAAGTAATGAGGCCGACGAGGCCGCCTATACCTTGAGGTCCTCTTACATAGGCCATCTACCACAATGAGGCCGACACTACACTTAACCAAACAAATGACAATGAGTTAGACGGGAATAGCTCAATGACAAACTTGGATACAACCAATCGCTTGAGGAGTGGGGGTCATCCCATCAGAATGTGGGGGAAGTGGGAAGATTTACATGGGACACGTGGAACCATTAACTGCTGAACGAGTGCGTTGCATCCGGTGCTTATAAATACCCCTACGATGAGAAAGGTATGGCTCTCTTGAAACCCGAACTAATTGAATTGCAATTATACTCTCTTCCTACTTCCTTAAACCGAATACTGATTCTCACGCTGGATGTACAACAGGGGAGAAAGCCCGGACCTCATTTTGTAGGTAGCATTCATTAGTCGGAGTAGTCGGAACACCCTACTCATCAAGGAGAACACGGAGGTCTATCTCGCTACAATTTCATTGGCCCCGTCTGTAGAAATTGACTGAACAAAAAAGTTATGTTAAGGAGATGGACTAGAAGTCAAATGCGTATGGTCAAAAATGCGACAATGAGAGCCGCAACCCTTCCACAGAAACCATCGGAGGCCGTACACGAGCAACCGCCCTAAGTGGCGCAAATGGTTATCCCGCATGTTACTCAGCCAACGGTGGAGCACTTAGGGGCCGAACTAATTGAATTCCAATGATACTCTCTTCCGACTTCCTTAAACTGAATACTGATTCTCACGCCGGAGGTACAATGGGGGAGAAAGCCCTAACCTCATTTTGCAGATAGCATTCATTAATCGGAGTAGCTAGAACACCCTACTCATTAAGGAGAACATGGAGGTCTATCTCGCTAAAATTTCACTACTCTTCAACCAAATTTTGACTACCAGTACGACTTGAATTGAAATTTTTAATGAACCATTTCTTTCGCCATTGATCTGGCTTTGTGAAATTGGTTACGTCAAGAACCGGAATGCCCAGACCTACCAATGTGACCAAACTAACGGTTGTAACAGTTGCCTTTAACTTTTTCGGAGTATTTGAAGAATTAGTTTGCCCTTCACCATTGTTTCTCTCTTTTTGGTAATCTTGAAACGTCATTCCATAATGTTGATCTTTGATTCCATCGAATAAGATACACCACTGTTCTCAATTTTGCGATTGTCTTCTTTTATTCTCAATCGGACAATGATATCTTGTCTTTGAACTTTTTCTTTAGACATCTTTCCACAATGTTGGCCTTTGATTCCAAAGAATGAGATGCACCATTCCTCTTTTCAGATTTGCGATTGTCTTCTTCTATTCTCAACCGGACATGATATCTTCAAGTTTCATTTCCTTACATTTATGCTTTAGATAATTCTTGAAATCCTTCCAGAGAGACGACAATTTTTCGATCAGAGCAGCAACTTGAAATGATTCGCTTAGTTTCATTGATTCGACATGAATATCACTAAGCATGATTTGAAGTTCTTGAATTTGGAATATGAAAGTCTTGATGTCAACCATTTTGTAATCCAAAAAACGACATAAAATGAATTTTTTCGTGCCAACATCTTCGATTTTGTATTTGGTGTCCAAACATTCCTACAATTCTTTTGCTAATTCGCATTGCAATACACATTATATAATGTGTTATCTAGTTCGTTCTATACATAATTTTTTCATACAAAATTCGAATACTTCCATGCATCAACCGCAACAATTTCTTTACATCACCTTCTTCCTCAATGTATGAAGTTGCATCTTCATTGAGAAATTTTGCTAAACTCAGATAAAAAAGCATTTTCTGTTGTCAACGCTTAAAATTTGACCTATTAAATTTTTCTGATTTTTTCTCCAGTCGTATTGGTAAGTGTAGTATCGAAAGTTGCCATTTTTGAAACACAATTAGAAAATAAACAGTAAGGAGAAGAAATAGAATAAACCAGAATAAAATCAAATTTGTTTTAAGATTGTTCTTTCTTGAGTATAAATTCCTCATTCAAACAATCTAACTATACAAATACTGATAGAATTATCGTAATGTAATTTGCACAGAATAACAATATGATCAACATGATCAGAAAATTAATTCGAGTCCATCGACTTTACAATGTTTCCTTAAAACGAATTTGCTGTCTTCACAAGTGCGCTAAAGGTATTTAGCAATCGTTTTTCAGGATAGAACGGATTTCATCTCCTACGAAAACAACACAACAACCTGCAGGAGTTCCAACAAACTCAATGAAGTGTATTCACTTCGAGAATAATATCAGAACGGAAGAGAGAGAATAAGAGTCAAAGCATATAAAGTTTGCAATGAAAATAGTGTAATTATTTTGGCAGCAGGACATGCTATTTATAAACTCGTTCATGCATGGTCATTCGAACATTCTTCAAGCCCTTTCAGGGCAGTCGTCATTGTTCATACAATCTTCCAAATTCGAACAAGCAAAACTATTTAGTTTGAAACATTGTGTTGTTAAGTCTGTTGACAAACATCTATTACGTCGGACGATCCAGACTAAAAAAATTACCAAAAGTGAGCCAATAAAAAATAATTTCATTAAGTACCCAAAAATTTAATTAATTACAATTTGGCCTAAAAATTTAAAAAAATTTTGTTCAAAAAAAATATAGTGCCCAAGCCATGCCGACAAGACGACAGTACGAGCATGTGGGCTTAGGACTGAACCCAATACGATATATATTTCCCATTCCAAAGGCTATTGATACTCCTCGGAGTAAAAAACTCAATTCCCAAACTTCCATTATATAAATCACACCAAAGTTTCTTGACTTTCCTATGCGGGATAAGTGTGTGACAATTTTCAATAAATCAAATTCTTCACTATTTTATAGTTTCAAGCAGGTTAATTTGACATCAAACATTTCATTCAATTCTGAATGGTTTTCAATAAATAAATATATCAAGTTAATCATCTCGTGAAGTAGAACGTGAGTATGCTTGGTCCCGTTAAAATCAATGTACGGGTTCCACTAAAATTGGGGCTCAAAGTTGACCCATTTCATTAATTAATAAACAATTTCCAACGCTGCCCACATCGTTGACATAAAGATGGTAAAATAAATATTCTGCTAAAGCAAAGAACCACTTATATCCTCTGTTTTTATTCACGTATCTTCTGGATTCCTNCCACTTATATCCTCTCTGTTTTTATTCACGTATCTTCTGGATTCCTATCCAACGTGCATAATCCACCCACCTACAAAAGATAGAAGTATATTCTAAGAAGAAAACTGAAAGCCCAAACAAAAATAGAGAAAAAGAAAATCTACATGAACGTGGTCAATGAGGTAAAGCACAAATGATAAAATGTCACATGTTTACTCAAAAAATGACAAACTTACATCAATGACCCCAGAAAGGTATTGCCAGTGCGAACAGCAAAACAGATTGCGCTAAGTATGAGCTTATGATTGTGTAACAAGGGTTCTAAGATTCGTTGTTCAATAACTCCAGCAAGGATTTGGTACCTGTGAAAAGGAAATCAGATAAATAAACATGTAATGAATTGCAGCTGCATAGAATATGGCCATAATATAAATATATTTTCCTGAATGTAATCTTCATGATACAGAATGTCAAAGGGTACCTAAGGTTGCTCGAAACAGCCAGGTAGACACCATATGCAACGCTGGTTGATAATATGGGTACATCCTCGGCTTCACCAGCAAAGGACTTATCAATAGCCTTCCGTGCGTTAATTAACAGATTGGTTACACCTGTGCCAACCTGCATATAAAATGATGCAAGGAAAAAAATCCTTATAGATGCCACAAATTCAAGAAACTGTCTGCAAATAAGCTCAAGTTATAACATGATAATGGTGGTTAATGCAAGAAGAGACCAATGCATTTACTTGTCCTTGAAAAGGAAGTTGCAATTGCTTTTATTACGATCACCCCATATAACAGAAGCATCTTATTTCAAAACCATGGGTTAGCTATTCTAGCAGATAATACGTAGCATAAATGAATTAGCTCATGTTTGGTGCCCATTGTTCTAAAACTCTTTTTGCCATGGGATCATTTTCAACCACACATTTACACAAAGGGGTTAAATAATCAAAGCCCCTCGAGTTCCAGACATGCCTTAAGTCAGGCATCAATCCAACCAGTCCTTGGAGTTGCTCTGCCTTTTGTGTCGATAATGCCTATATCCTGGAGTGATATTTCTCTTCCTGAACAATGGTCATGGGAAGAAGCCCCTGAACCGAGGTCAATTTATAATTATTGGGACTACATTGAGGCGTGGAACAAAGCATTTTTGTATCAAAATCGCCCCCATCTATAATTGGAGGCTAGACACAGAGAAGAAACCCATTTGGATTGTTGTCAGGAATCAGTTGATGAAAAGAAAAGAGGTGCTAAGTTCCGCAATGTTGATAGGACTATCGTTATTAAAATAACAGACATATTCTGTAGTGTAGGGGGAGCGTTTTTATTTTAAAACTCAATACTTCTATCAATTGGGATTATTGTCCCTTCTTTAATTTGGTGTCCCAAAAATCTTAGATTTTATTCTGTACGTAAACCCAAAACTTCTCCCTACTTTTTACCACACATTCTCCTAAAAATACTATTCAAAACTCTTTTTTTTTGGAAATAATGGGCACCAAACAGGGGCTTAATGTGATAACCTGGGATGAATATATGTTGGTTCATATCTTCAATGAGCTATTTCAGGGAAAATCAAGAGGGCATGGGAGGAAATAATGCAAAGAAATAATTTCCCACAGTTGAGATTATTGAATGAACACAGTGTGTACAAAATCAAACTATTAGATAAGAAGATACGAAGTAAATTTACTTATCTATATCATAATTTCACGATACTCAGTTACTTGCAAGCCAGATTCATTCCTTCTATCAATATCTTCTCCATTGAGGTCCCAAAAGCCAATTTCACTTACTCTTTATATCTTGAGTTACTTCCCCCCATGACAATTAAAATCTCTAATACCGAAGATCTTATTTTGTTTAGAGATTGTCTGAATCAACTTATCAATGTCTTCAATACGGTTGTTTTGTTGGCTTTTCCAATCATTTTTGGATCATTGTGCTAATAATACTAATTGATATTTTTGTAAATAAGTTTGACTGAACTGAGAAGGGAAAAGGAAAGAACTAACTTTCGTGTTCTTGCCAATTAAAGATCTTTATGTTAAATTTTCTCACTGTATTTCAAAGAGGCACAAGTGTCTTTATAATGTGAGCTCAACAAAACCATTCTTCCAAATACCATCAATGTGGGACCTTTATAAAAAGGATTGACTCATTTTTGGAGATCATCAAATGAATTGTATATGTTTGAAGTAAATGGAAAAAACACTTAAGCAACTAATTTGATGTAGAAGAAATAAGGAATGTTTGGAAAAAGTTATTTCCCCACAATGGTTTTCTAATTTAACAGATTATATGCTGACCCTCTTGATAGAAATGCCTATTTTTTAGGTGACTCTTTTTTGCACATTGAAGTCGTAAATACTCACAGCTTGGACCCCCATGAAATGCATGAACCAGAATTTCATCCATCACACTGATGTTCCCTCACAAAGATTTAAGGTGCTCAAAAGTGATCAAGAACTTGTATCTATTTAAGTGTTGACTTACCAGAGATGCACTGGTTCCAACTGCAAATAGCTTGGCCCCATTTCTCTGCGGGACAGTTCAGAATACTCTTAGATTTACTAAGTTTATAATCCAGATACCTTGTTTCTAATTTGTGGTTGAATAAATAAAATAGCATACCACGATGGCTCCTATCCTCTGTAAAAATGAGTAGGATGTACCAGCCAATGCAACCTGCAGCATGCATAAAAACAACTTCATTCAGTAGCCTGCACAAGGTTTTGCTTCTCTTCAAACACACGTATCCGTAAGCAAACATCGTGTAACAGTATATATTAAAACAGAACCTGAAAGGCATTATCAGGGCATCCATAGAAGAACTTATTGAGAGATCCAGCACTAAGAGCTATAGCCGGTCGTAGAGAAACGGTGGGGGCAGGGAGCCAAACGAGCATGAAATCTGCAATAATGGCCATTACCTGAAAAATAGATTATTAGTGTTTGCAGGTTTGAAGAACAAAGGACATTCAGAATTGACTAATGAATACAGTGATCGTATTTTTTGGATATTGTACAACTATTTACATTTATTATGTACAGAGAATTTCCTTCTGTAGAAACTGCAGAAAATAGTTGTAATTAGCATACTCTTAGGAGCTAATTGTATAGTTGAATCATAATTAACGTAATTGTAGGAGTTGATCATAGAATATGGGAGCAACTAAAGGAGTTAAATTATGGGAGTCAATTAGGTTTCCTTTATACCTATGTAAGTGCAACATTGTAATGTTTCATTTCATGGAATAAAATTATGTTTTCCAACATGGTATCAGCAGGTTCTACCTTGCTTCCATCCTGTCCAGGCTATTTTCTGACTGGTTCCTCTCGATTTGCATTTTTTGGGCCATTTATAGGCTGATTCAGATTTAAGTCATGGCGGCTTATTCCTTTTTATGCCGATTCACATTGTTTCAGCTATTTTGCCAGCTGATCCAATTTTTCTTTTACGTAGAGGTTTGGTTTTTTTCATGTCTTCGCCATTTGCGGCAAGTGAAATTGCTACAAGCTTATGTTGTGATGATACAATCAAGTATTCTTCTGCAACTTTAATCGAGGCTTCTCTTCCAAGTTGTTCTTGGAAAATTGAATCTGGAGCCACAAACCATATGAGTAGCCACTCTAATTTGTATATCTCTCTCTTAACCTCGATGTTCGGGAAGACAAAAGGTGAAAGTGGCACATGGTTTGTTATTATCTGTTGCAGGGAAAGGGTGTATTCTTATCCCAAGAACTCTTTCTCTTGACTCAGTTTTACATGTTCCTAATCTCTCTTGTAACCTCTTCTCAGTTAGAAAAATTAGCAAATATCTTAATTGTGTTGCTAAATTTTTCCCTCTCGCATTGAATTTGAGGACATGTACATGAGAAAGGTGATCGGTACTGGCAAGGAGATTGATGGACTTTACTATTTCGAAAGTGAACCTACTCGTTTAGATAATCTATCTCATACACACTTGAGTACTTTAATTTAATTTCCAATCACAATATTGGGCTATAGGATAAAAGATTAGGTCGCCCAAATTACTCATACTTGAAAAGTTTATTACATTGTTTAAAACCAAAAATATCCTTGATTTTCAATGCGAGACATGTGAAATATCCAAACATCATCGTGTACATTTCCCTACAGAAATATATAGGAAATCACAACTTTTTACTCTCGTTCATAGAGATATTTGAACCTTCTCAAGTGGGCGAGATGGTTTCTCTCATTTGTTGATGATCATACTCATGTGTGTTAGGTATTTCTTCTCAAAGAAAAATTTGAGACAACGAAGGCATTTCAAAATTTTCTTAAGATGGTTAATACCCAATTTCAAGCCAACATTCAAACCCTTCATACCAATAATGGGAGACAGTGCTATTCATCAATAGTAGGTTCATATCTAGCAGAAAATGGCATTTTTACACCATAGTTCTTGTGTGGATACAACTTGACAAAATGGGATGGTTAGGGAAAAAATAGTCATCTCTTTGAGGTAACTAGAGCTATAATGTTTACCATGAGTGTGCCAAAACATTTTTGGAGTGAAGCGAACTTACCTTATAAATAGATTGTTGTCAAGGACCTTAGATTTAAAAAATCCACTTGAACTTCTTAAAATTAGATGTATTTTTTTTGGATATTCTTCTACTTAGAAAGGTTATAAGTGCTATCATCCTCGAACAAGAAAATCCTTCATGTCTATGGATGTCTCATTTTTCAAGAACACTTTGTTTTTCATTTTCATTTTTTTTTAACTGAAACTTCTCCAGTGGGAGAGTAAACATGTTGAAGATCAGTTTTGGTCAGTTGAGCCTAATATTTCTATTCCTTCTATATCTCAACCTCAACCTTTAGAAGCGCTTAATATTGATGTTCGGCCTTACGAGTCTCCTGAACCTCTACATGTTATTCCATCCACTAGTTTTAATTATGGATTGTCTCCTACTGAAAGTTCTCAACCTTCACCTCTTGAGAGTGGTCAACCTCCATCTCCAATCACCGTTACTCCACTTGAGTATGTACAAGATAGAAACTGTAACCTAAAGGTTTACTCAAAGAAGGAATAAGACACAATCTCCGCAACATCACTAATCACCCAACCCAAGCACAAAGATTCTGGAAGACACAAATAATTCTTTAGTCCCTCATCTTTCCAAAAATCTTAATTCTGATATTGATATTCTGATTGCTCATAGGAAAGCTGTTAGATCTTGTATACAATATATCCTATCTCCAAATCTGTTTCCTACCATAGGGTATCTCCTTCCTTTAGCGCTTTTGCTGCTAATGAATCTTCTTGCGATTTTTTTCCAAGCACCATACAGGAAGGTCTTGCTATTTCAAGATGGAAACAAGTTTTTATAAAGAAAATGGAGCATTTCAAAAGAATGATACTTGAGAACTTGTTGATCTTAACCACAGAAGAGACCAATAGGGTGTAAATGGGTGTTTACGGTAAAACACAAGGCAGATGGACAGTTGAAAGATGTAAGGCAAGATTTTCTGGTTTTAATTTCCACATCAAAAGGAACGTTCTTTAGTTGCAATCTTTCATTGATGACAACACATTATATAATTTATATTTCTGAAAACCAAAAATATTGTGAAGGCAATCATACCACATCAGCAAAGACGAAATCTAGCTCCTTGGTGAACTTTTCTCTACGCCTTTCCAATTCTGCAGCAGTCTGGCATGCAGATAGGACATATCAAACACAATGAAACTTTCAGAAATTGCTTGATTGCAAGATAAATAGAAATTCAATAAAAAACCCCTGAAAGAACTATATGTGCAAATTTCATCTATCAAAATTTGTTGAAAATTTTCAAATCCATACGTGTCAAGATCGAGAAAATCTTCCCATTTCATTTTATATCAATTCTGGCTGTATTTAGTCACACAATTCCACATGATGAAATTCTAATATTGCAACAATTCGTCAAAACTCCATCCAAATCTCTGCATCTTTGCTATTAATAGAAGACTATCTACCCAAATTTGAATTAACATCTCGACACAAACTTCTCATAGTAATTTCCCGATGTAATAAAAGCCAATGTTAGAGGGCATAATTGATCAATCCAGGCCTTTCAAATATGATCCAAATTCACATCAAATAAGACATGTCATATTCTGATTATTCTTATTACTACTTTATTGACTGTATAAAAAAATTTCGAATATTTGCTATGGTAATTAGTATTTGAATAGTAATTCAAGACAAAGCACAAACCTTCGTAAAGATCCCAATACCACACTCTATAGCAACTTTAGTCAAGAAAAGATCGTCTGCAAGTAACCTTTCCTTAAACCCTCCAAATTGGAGCAACCAACGGAGCACCGCAGACTTCTCGAGCTCGATGTACCGATGTACTATCGAACCCGGAATCCTCCCGGCTTCAATGGAGGCTGCCAGGTCCTTAGGAATGCTATCCAATGATCTGCCAGCTTCGACCAAGGCCATGATTGCCTCTGCCTTGTTTCTTTCCCATGCATCTCCCTCGTTATCATCTCCACCTCCGCTTCCGCCCCCACCTCCTCCACTACCAGCACCGCTTCCACTTCCGCCATCACCACCAATTTCTCCACCGTCAGTATTGCTGGAGAAGGTAATAAAGGAGATACGACGAGTGGGTTGTAGGGGGCTGAGTTTAAGTGAATTGGCAGAGGAGTGATTGAGACAGGTTGTATCCAAATGGGGAGTGGCAAATGGACAAGTGAGCGATGAGGGAGAGTGGTGGAGGTGTGGAGTTGGTGATACGATGAATTGGGTAATGAAGGATGAAAAAGTAGTGGTTGCCGCCATGATGAAGGTGCTTTCTCTTATTCTCTCTCCTCAGTGTTCGCCTGTGTGCGGGAGAGAGGAAGAGAGAGAGTGGCTGGTTGGTTTTTGGGTGGTGGTGAAGTGAATGGTAGAGCTGTTACATTTGGCAGTTGACTTAAAAGTAGAAGTGACGTTTGATTTGGGAAATTGAGAAAAGCACAACCTTGTATTCTAAATTCTGATGATTTGCCTTTTGCGGTCGAAGAATAGATAATAGCCACAATATAAAAAGGATGAACCGCATCTTTGATGGTCCCCACCTGTTCTGCTTTGAGCTTTGGTAAAGGAGGTAAATCGCAGGTTATGCCTCCAAGAGTACAGAGTTGAAGGTTTCTTGTACACTTGCACTTACCCAAAGGCCAAATCCATATTTCAGGATTCGAATTCTTGACGCGGCAGCCTCAAACAAAGTTGGAGTTTTTTCACCTTCTCCTTTTACCACTTGAAGATGTGCCCTGGGGCATAGCCACAATATAAAATCTATAGTCATGCTTGGTATATAGAAATCTTTTGTTCATCTACTCGATAGAATGTCACGTGATTCAATCATCTGTTGTAAACATTGTATCTGTAAGTAAGTGGACAAAAAAAATTGTACAAATAGATTTTTGTATTGGCATTGTCTTATACATATCTAGTAGCTGTTTGTTTCTGATTTTTTGTTCAAAAAAATTGATTTCTTGACCGTTATTGTGCAACAAATGTGAGAAAAAAGTCAAAAAAGGGGGCTGCCAACGCTAAAAAAAGGACATAAAATCTTGCTTACAATTTCTCCCAGACAAGCCCCTAATTTGAAAAACAATAATTCAATCGTGAGAATCTTTTTAATAAATAAAAAATGAAAACGGGGAACTTCATTCCCTTACATGCCCTCCGACTACCCTCGAAGAATACATCAATTCTAGAGAGGTTGATCTCATGATATTTCTTGAGAGCCACTCTTTCACGCGATTTTGTACTGGTTAAAGAGACTTGGCTCCATATATACATAATAACTTTTGAACTCCTCGAATTCCTTTTAGTCTTTCACCGCATTTGTTGCACACAACTCAAGCTTCTCTTTCAAAGCCTTGACCTTATTGTACCGCGACTCAAAATTGGACACATTTTTTGTCATAGTAACTAGAGAACTTTGTTTCTCTTCCATGAACTATTTGGCTTGACTCAATTCGACATATTTGGATGAATAGATGATAGGTGCATTTTATATACTTATTCGGGTTTCAAATTATGACATTTTGTGGTTGTTTTAATGAGATTATAGCCTAATTTATAATATAATGTGTTATTAGGTGAAA